CCGCCCCTGTATTTTGCTGATATTACACACGCAGGATAAACCCCCTTCCCCTGCAGAGTCCTTCAACCTGAACAGTCTGTCCTCCTGAGTCCGGCCTGTTTAGACCAATCGGTTACCTCCAACTTCTCTTTGTGTGTTTATGACGCCATAAATAAACAAAACCTTTACATTTTTCTCAGTCCAATGTGTTGACAGATCAGCCGCTGATTGAGAAAGAGAAAGGACCAGATAGTCAGGTCTCATTCCTCCCCATCCCTCCCTCTTTCATCCCTCCTCCTTTCGCTCTGCCTTTTCCTGGTTTCCTGGTTTGTGTCTGGACGCCTGCCTGGAAACAGGTGCTTCACCACCGGTCAGCCGGGGGGATGTGGAAGAAAAAGAAGCCGTCCTACAGGACTAGATCGTCCCGCAGGAACAGCACGGTTCTGTAAGTCCGTTCAGCCCCGGTGGGCTTTTCAGTCGTGCCTTCAGGACTCCAGGCAGAGGATGTGCTGCCAGAACTGTTCTGATGACCTCACTTCTGATCTTTTAAAATCTCTTTAACACAGTATTCTTTTTAAAACGTAGTTAAAAAGTTTGATTTGAAAACATCGGTGCAGCTTCATACATTGTTTACAGGACTAATGAAAAACGGACAAATTACATTTTCTGCAAAATGCTGCCAGACTGCTGAAGTTTGCTGAACAAGCTGAAACTGAACTGTTCAAGCTACAAACACCTGTTCAGGTCTCTCTTGTAAACGAGTCCTCACGGCTCAATGTGACTAACATGTATAAATAAAGAATGAATGAATGAAAAAAGACAAAACACTTGCTTAAAGTCAAAAGTTGACTGCTTTTAGCTACATGTACCAATATGCTAGCTAAAAGCAGATAACAATTGCCGAAAGGTAAAAGTAAGAAACAGTAGCTACAAGCTAAATGTAGCAAAAGGCTAACTAATTGCTAAAAGTAGTAAAATTAATTAGAAACTAAAGTAGCAAAAACTAGCTAGAAAATAAATGTAGCAAAAGGCTAGTTAAATGCTAAAAGTCATAAAACCGTAACTTGAATCTAAAAGTAGCAAAACTGTAGCTAAATGCTAAAAACAGAAAATGGTAGCTAAAAGCTAAATGTGGTCAAAGGCTAGCTAAATGCTAAAAGTAGTCAAATTAAATAGAAGCTAAATTAGCTAGATGATAAAAGTAGCAAAAGTCTAGGTAAATGCTAAAAGTCATAAAACCG